ATTTTTTAATATACTAGACTTACACTAATTAGAATAAAATTTTTTATTATTTGGTTTGTAAATATAAGTCATTCATTGAAAAGTTTTATGTGAATGAAATATAATTTTGAGTGCCTAAACTATCTCTTAATTATCGAGTCAGTCCCTAAAATTTAATTTATCACAATTCAATTTTCATAATTTATTGAATAAAATAATTATAAAACTGAGTTGTCAAAGATTAGAGTTCAAGGAGTAAAAATTACACTTGTCTTCTGAGTTTTAACATGTAAGGAATTTTATATAATTTTGAGAACAAGCAGTATTTTTAAACCTAAAATGCCCCCAGAGCATATTAAAATTACTTGCCTACTAGCTACTCCCTCCGATCTTATATATAAGTTTCACTTTTGGAAATGGCTTTAATCCAAAATATAAGCTTTGTTTTTGAAGTTGTTAGAGTATTTATTACTTTTTTTTTATTTTGCCCTTAGTTGATTATATTTAATACTCTCTCACTTATTTAATATTACCCTCACATATTCTTTGTCATTATTTTTTTATTTAGTACCTCTTATTTACTCTCTTAATAAATAAGAACAAGTTTGAAAAAAAAATTTAACCTATTTATTATGTTTAACTAATTTTAACTGCTAGTTCGTTAAACATGATTTAGTTATTTGAAATTTATATATAGGACTAAAGGGAGTATCACTTTTGCTTTAATAGCATCTTAATTATTAATTAATATTAAAAAAGTTAATAAAGTTGAAAATTTTTGAATCTTAACTAATTAAGTATCTTTTTTAAAAAATTTTATATGTATTAGGTAAAAAATATTTCCTATCAGTGTCCTTGTAATGTAGCGAATATAAGCTTTCTTTGTGCTTATGAAAATTCTTTCCATTTAAAATGTGAAGCACTCTCCCCTATCTATGCAACAATTAAATTATATCACTATTATTTATAAATCACTTATAAAAAAAATTGTTTTTAAAGTCACTTGTGGGGTAATTAATAAACTTTTTTTCCATTTTACTCAGATTTAATAAATATACAAAGCGAGATAAAATAAATAGGTGAGAGAAAATATAAAACATACTTTAATAACATCCTTTCTTTAATAAGAACAAATGTGAAGAAAATTATTGATTTAATGCACTTCTTAATTCGTGAGTTTGAGGTACATGTAACTTATGAATAGAAGTAGAGTTGCATATATTTAAATAAAATTATTATCTTTTTTTTTTGTTGACTAAAATATATATGTAGTCTTTTAATTTTATATAAGATTTTAATTTGGTCCCTTAACTTTAAAAAATATATATTTTTAATCCTATAATTGTTAGTATTAAATGATATTTTATGTAACAATTATAGTTGTTCTAAAAATTAAACTTAATATATTAGTATTTAATAATATTTTATCAATATTCAAAAGTTTAATATCATTCCGGTAAAAAAAAATTTAATATCATTATTTTTTATTAATAGTTTTAATGTTAGAAGATTAAAAGTTTAATTTTTAAAATTAAGAGACCAAAATAAAAACTCCTATAAAATTAGAAAATTAAAAATATACTCCTCCGATTAGAGGTGAAAACAGGCCAGGCGACCTGCCAGGGGCCTACTGCCTAGCCTATATTTGGCTTGGTTTGTTTTCCAAAAGAGACAGGCTCAGGCCTATTTGAAAGTTTGTTTAAGTTAATAGGCCAGGCTTAGGCTCTCTAAAAGGTCTGGTAACCCTGTTAGGCCGACCTGAGCCTGTTAGAAATTTATAATTATAATATATAAAAAAAATTAGTTAATGGTATTGTTAATGTGCACTTTTAATTTATTTTTTAATTTTAATATATAGTTAATAGCTTAGTTCTTCCTTAGATTTTGAAGTTTAGTTGACAAGTAAAGATAAAAATATAATTTAAAATAAAAATATCAATAAATAATATGATCTTTAAATCTTAAAAATATAAATAAAATAGGAAAGAAAATTTTTGTTCCAAGAATGATAGATTAATTAACTTATGTATTATATTAATTAAATTATGATACTCTCTTTATTCATTGTAAAATTAATAGTTTTTTTTTTCTTTATTTATTTGTCTTAATTTTTTTTTGTACTTAAACATAGTTTTGTCCCAAATTTTAACATACAATTAGAATTAGTTTTCAATAATATCCTTATGAATTGTAATTAAGATCTAAAACAGTACCTATGATACTAAAATTTAAATAAAAGACAAAACTAAAAATTAATTATTTGTATTATTTTTTGTTTTAGCTTTTTTCCTAAAAAAATTATTGTAATTTGAATTTTAAAAAAAAGGCTTTTTAACAGGTTTCAAGCCAGGCCAGGCCTTTATACAGGCCAGGCTCAGGCTGAAAGATAAGTCTGTAACAGGCCACAGGCCAGATACTCAGGCTATAAGCTACAAAACAGGCCTGGCCTGTTAAGAGTAAAGCCAGGCTGGCCTGATCTGTTTCCACTCTTACCTCCGATCTAATTAATAACCTATTTAACTAAGGGAGAATCCAATTAAATCCAGCCGAAATACCTAAATTCAGATTTAGGCCTGCACTTTTAGCAATTCCTAATTAGGCCATGAGACCTAATTAGGAATTTCTAAATGTTGTTAAATAACCAGAATGCCCTTCTTCAATTAAAAAGAAATTTGATTAATATACCTCTCCCAAGTAATTCCTCATCTCTTATGATTTTTTTTAGACCAAAAACATATAAGTAATTTTACAATGTTTGAAATTTGTATATATAACTTACACTATTAAAAATATTTTAATAAAACATGTTAAATTACAAATATAAGTAAAATTATAAATATAAGTAAAGTTTAAATAAATTTTTTTAATTTTCAGTTTTTATAATTTACGTTAGTTTTATTTATTTAAACAATGTTGGATCCAACTGAAAACGTAAATGATTATGATTTAATATTAAATTTTTATTATAATTAAAATATTTTAAAATTTTAAAATAAATATTTACGACATGAAAAAAATATTTATTAGAGATTACTTATATTATAATTTGAAATGTTTTATGAAAATATTTTGAATATTTTAGTTATATTACAAAATTTCAAACACTAAAAAATTATTTATATTTTTTTGCTAAATATTAATAATAAGAGATGATGAACCACTTTAGAGGGATAAATAATTAATTTTCATTTTTAACTAAAGAGGGGTATTATAGTTATTTAACAATATTCAGCAATTCCTAATTAGGTCTTATGTCCTGATTAAGAATTTGTTAAAAGTATAGGCCTCAATTTAAATTTAAGTATTTCAACAGGATTTAGTTAGGATTTTCCCTTTAACTAATTTGATTAGATTAAGGAAGTTAGATAAGTTAGTTAATTATAAGAAAAATAACATATTTTTCCTATAACACAGTAATAATCTTTCTCCCCCTCCCTCTTCTACTTGATTATGGTTGAAGGAGTATCCATAGGAGTAATTTAGAAAAAATTGATAAATATAAAAATGAGTCTTATATTTAGAACCAAAACTAACTCTAGAATTGGGTTCTATATTAAGAAGAAAAAGAGTATTTTAGTGTCTTATATGGATAGATGAATATCTCCGTCTGACGCGTTTCTTGGATCTCAGCGCCGATAGTGCGGCTTTCCTTTAAACGAGTTTGATGTTAGGTAGATTGTGAATAGGACGATATATATATATATATATTTATATACGTGTGCGTGTATATATATATATATAGTTTGTGTTCATTGCCCTTTCATTTAATAAACAAAACTGACCTCACACACCACTCCACGCGCCATGCTCTCGGAGATAAGATCTCTCTTCCTTCATTAAATGAAACCAACCACAATGATCCCAATATTGAATGAAGACCAAAGCCCTCAATTTCATCTCTCTCTCTCTCTCTATGTATATACAGAGTATATATAGTCTCGTTGAGTTTCAACTTTGGACAGAGAGTTAAATGAGAGGGAAGCGAAAGGAAAAGATTCTAACCAAATCAAATGGGCTTACACACGCCTAAAAGAAACAGTCTCATCACAAGTACAAAGCAGGCAGCAGCAACCAAATAGATCCATCAGAGAGGCTGGCGGGCTGGCTAGCTATAGCCAGTCTGCCATCGATCACTGTGATTTTTCCTTCTTTTTTGCCACCGTCTCGATGAATCGGTATCAGTTTAGCCAGTAGTGTAGGGCCAGCCATATGGTGGAGTAGTCAAATCACAATGAGAAGCTTTTATTTATTTATTTATAATACTGTTAATGTACTGTTCGTACTTGATTTCAAATCATCATCCATATCATATGTTATATCATGGAGCTTCTCTTCCTCTAGTTTTACTTGCTCTCGGTAAAGACTGAACTACATCTAGCTAGCCCAACGCAGGCGGAGGAGGAACATGCAATGTTGAATTTTGATACATACCCAACAGCATAATAAATTCGATAACAATTTGCCAAATCAAGTATGTTCCTGAACTTCACAAGTATTCCTTCTCTTATTTTATATAACCATATGATGGGTTAAATGTAATTGAATATTGTACAATATATATATTGAGATCACTCTCCACAGTACAGCCCTCCACTTTTAACTGCTGAAAACAACAGGTGAGGGTGAAAGCTATTTCACCAGTCCATGCACACGTCCCTTTCCTTTGCTTCTCTCCCCCACATCTCTCTCGCCTCTCTCTCCCTCTCTCTCTCTCTACACGCCATACACATATCGGGAATGCCAACCACACATATTTCTATGACATTGTATGTGGATGTGCATGCCCTGCATATATACACGACACATATGCATATATACACATGACACATATACATATACTGATATACATGTGTATATAACACACACACACAAAAACTCACATCATGTTCATCGAATGAACAGAGACTGAATAAATAGGGGTGTGTCTGTCTCTGTGTGTTTGTGGGTGTGGCTTTATACCTCTCAGCGTCTCTTTCTCTTTCGTTCCCTCTCACGCTGCTTTCTGAAAGTCTTCCTGAAGACTGAACCAACCTCATCATCAAAAAGAAGGGCTTTATCTATCAATCTATCTATTTATCTGTATATCCCAAGGAGGGACGGTGGGTTCAAGTTTGTTTGTGCGGGGTGGTTAAGCTGTCAATCTATCAATCAAGGAGAGAGACCAATCCATCAATCATCGAAGGTTTTTTAATTTTTATTATAAGATAAAGAGGAAAAAAAAAGGAGATACTCAAAGAGATGTCATCCTCTTCTACTACTGCTGCCTCTACCTTATCTCAGCTGGACCACTTCCCTCCTTCAGACCAGCTTTGTTATGTCCACTGCAACCTTTGTGACACTGTCCTCGCTGTATGAGATTCCTCATTTTCTTCCCCAATTCCCACTTTCACCCTTTAGGGTTTCTCTTTACTCTTTTTCCTACATTGCTTTTCCTATCCTCTCTCTCTCCCTCTAATCAAGTGTTATTACTGAATGAAGTGCCTTCTCTTTTATATTTTTGCTGATGAATATTATTTCAGGTGAGTGTTCCTTGCACGAGCTTGTTCAAGACAGTGACCGTGAGATGTGGGCATTGCACCAACCTTCTTCCAGTGATCGTGAACATGAGAGGACTGCTTCTGCCATCAGCAAATCAATTTCACCTATCCAACTCTTTCTTCTCTCCTCCTCCGTCGTCTCTTAACCTCCTGGTATTTACGTGTGCATATATATCTCATTTTGAATTCTTCCTCATTGATATATATATATATATATATATAAACATGTATCAATCAATGGAGAAATATATATGAATAGAGATATAGATAGAGAAAGATGTGATAATTAAGTAACCCTAATCGCCACGCCTTCTTCTGATTGCTGGTTTTTATATGGCAGGAGGAGATGCCAAACTCATCAAATCACTACTTCTCTGTGCCTCCTGCTCCTAGGGTTGCGGCAGCTGAAGAGCTTCCACGCCCACCCCTCGTAAATAGACGTAAGATTAATTTCTCCTCTTGTCTGCACATTTCATCTCATCAGGTTTTTCTCTCCCTGCAGGTTTTCGTTTCTTTGTCATTTAATAAATTTAAAATGAGTTCATATTGAATGTCTTCTGGTCCAATTGCTATCAATAGTCATCAACTAAACCCTCACTCGCTTCTAAATAGTGTATAGATGCATACTCCCTCTAAAGAAAAGCATCAAACCTAAATCGGTAAGAACACAGGAATATATTGCCCAGCTCACCTTAATTAACTAAAATGGGACGTGTATCTTTATATGCAAAGCACAACACTCTGTAAATTTTGCTTCCATTTTTGACAGTTCCAATATCTTTGTAGAATACAGATTGGAGGAATAAGTTGTTGTTTTAGGGGTTTCTAGTGAGTGAACCCGAGAGGGGAAGGGGAATAATTGTATGATGATGATTGTAGAGAGAGAGAGAGCCCGGATTCCCCTCAACAAGTTCAGTAGTGAGCTTGAAACCCATAATAACAGTATCAGTGGACAAATTAATTGTTTCCCTTTTGGGCAGAAAGCAATAATGATGAGATGATGGTAGGAAAAAAAAAAAAAAGATTAGAATAAGGTTGCAACTAGAGGTCAAGGAAAATGAATCTGATGTGTGTTTGGATCTTTCATTTGCAGCCCCTGAGAAGAGGCAGAGAGTCCCATCTGCCTACAATCGCTTCATCAAGTAAGTATTACTTATCTCCCTCCCTCCCTCCCTCTCTCCCTTAAATATCTTCTAATAAATCCTACTTTAACCTTAATTAAGAACTTTGTATGGATTCGTCACTGTTTGTGTATACATTTAAGCTGAAGCAAATTTGGATGGTCCACATATATACATCTGCAGGGACGAGATCCAACGCATCAAGTCTGCAAATCCTGATATAACCCACAGAGAAGCCTTCAGCGCAGCTGCCAAGAATGTATGATCCCTATGACCCTGCCTAGCAAGATACGCTAACAAATAAATAAATGTAAAAACTCCTAGGGTTCTAATATTTTATTTAGGTCTTCTTACTTTCCTTTACATTCTCATTCCAATGCAATGGTTTATTATTATATCACAAGCTTCAGCAGTACATAATGACCCGTCATTTGGCTCATAGAAATAAGATCAGTTTATATTTGTCTTTTTTTTTTAATAAAAAAGTTGCTCATTGACTAGTGTCATCCAAATCTATAGATCCGCCATCTTTTCCAGACCAAGAAAGCTTCATTTTTTTTTTCAAATCCATTGCAATACTAGTTACCTTATATACCATCTTACAGAAATGAAACTCTAACTATAACTATCAATTTTCAAGATTTTACGGGAAATCGAATCCAAAAGCATATAGATTACATGGTCGTTCTTCTCCTCTATTTATAAACTATAACCAAGTAGTAGCTAACTAGCCACCTAGTTAATAATGTGGTTAGCAAAGCGATAGAGTTGAATGTCTGATATATAAAGTTGAAATTGGAAGGGAGAATGAGCAATTTTGTAGTTGATTAGGGTTTCTTATTGTGTGTACTACAGTGACTGACCGGTGTGTTTGTATTGTGTGTATATAATGTGTCAGTGGGCCCACTTCCCTCACATACACTATGGTCTCATGCCTGATCAGACTGTGAAGAAGACAAATGTGCGCCAGCAGGTAAATTATTATGCACCCCTCTTCTTCCTGCACTTTGTTGCAGACACAATAATGCATTTTTATGGCAGCCTGACTTTGATATCTGAGTCTCTTATGTCTTTTTCAGGAAGGAGACGACGACGACGTTCGCATGAAAAAAGATGGCCTTTTCATCTCTTCAGCAAATCTTGGGGTTCCTCCCTATTAATCTACAACTCTACTATCTGATGGTGAAGCTCATGATCTATCTGATGTGGATAACCAATGACTATGATACTATATATCGTTAGTGCTTATGGAATGTGCATGTAGCTAGCTTGGTAATTATTAGCAGAGAACTATCTTTGTCCCTGAATTTTCCCAGCTAATTAACTATTCAGTTCATGATTAGCCATCTTGCATCTTGCATCTTTATTTTCCTCTTTTATTTCGCTTACACGACGCACGTTGATTAGATTTTTTAATTTTTTGTGGGAAAAGTTTCAAGGTCTAAGCATCAGAATGAGTCTATATTAACTAGTCTTTCATTTGCTGTGAATTGGATTCTGAATGGGCCAAGAAATTAGAGTCTTCTACTTAAGGAGAATGCGTGAATGTTTATTACGTTTAAGTATTTCTTTAGAGTTGAAGCAATAAAAAAGAGTCATTTAGTTTAATTTTCATAGATGTCAATGTTACAGTTCAGGCATGAGAAATAACAAATCTTTGTTTAGATATAACTTAAAGTATTATCAAATCACTTTAAATTTGAGAATAATTTTTATCACGCCGGGAGTATTAAAGTTAAAGTCATTCTATTAAGGGGGTGTTTGGCAAAACCAAAACCTAGGTTTCAGAATTACTTTTCCGCAAAACGAGGTAACCTCCTCCACATATTTACTTCGTAATCCGTAAAAGCACTTCTGAAACCATGGTTTGGTTTCTATCCAAACACCTCCTAAGTACACTTCCTAAGATTAGAAGTTGTGTTCTATTAAGAATAAAGTTATCTTGAATCTTAAAAATTCAAAGTGTGAAAATCCTTGTGTTCGTGGAAAACAGTGGGCTTAAAATTAGGTGAAAACACACATCAATTGATAGAAATAGGCGAACAAATGTATATGACTCATGTCCCTTCTTTTGCTGAAAGCTATGTTTTATTTTATTGAATATATGTTCTTTTATCTTCTTTGAAAAAAAAAAGGTTGAACAATGTGATCTGATCTCCAAAGAAGCTGTAGTATCACCAACGAAGGGAAAATGTGAATTCAAATAAACTTCATAGGGTCTATCATATAGGGAAGGACAAGTTTTGTCTCCTGATGAATTGACTTCATCTGTCCTCTTCCCAGCAATTACTTCCAAAAGTCAATGCCCTAATTGTTGAGGAATATGCCTAGCTAGCTATGTCACTTGACAAAATGTATTTTCCTTGAATAAAAATGAAAGGCTTTTATAACTAGTGTGATTCCCTTGAAATTTGCGGAGTGTTCAAGTATGAGATGAGAAGTGAACTAATTATTTCTTGCTCATTATATATAGGTTACTAACTAATAATAATTAAAGATATTTTTTTTGGCATAACTGCATTTGGAAAAAAAAAAACAAAAGCTTTCTGGAATAAACTAGAGTGAGTTTTGTGCATTGCATAGAGTTTAGAAAAAGAATTTGTACTATTTTTTTTTTAATTTAGAGGGGTGAGTATTAATGAGAGGTTAGAAGTAGATTTGATCCTATTACCTCTCATTACTGAGGAGCTTTCGAGCCACTAAGTTTCAAGATCATTAACAATTTGTATATTTATAACTTATGAATAATAGCATGTAATTTTATATATTATTAAATTTATATAAAATTATATCTTATAAAGTTATAATATTGCTTGTCACGTCAAACTACAAACAAATGGAAACCTATGTTCTTATTGTTCACATCCTAATATCCTGTCGAATCTAAGATGAATGACATAGATGTTAAGAATAAACAAAATAAGACAATTTAATTTGATTTAACAAAGATGACACAATACATAATAACCTGTGAAAAATAAACTTGTAAAACATCACGCTCATTCTATAGTTTGATAATGGGTTCTAGTGACTAAACTTTTCTTTTCCCGTTTCGTCATTACATCAAAAAAAAAATCATGGTATATTAATCATATTCATGTCGCAATATAATGTGGAGTAGATGGGTCATGTTATTATGTGATTGGGAATCGAACAGTACTCGCTTGTCCTGCCTTGGACGCTTCAAATTGGCTGATATATGTTGTAGAGATATATAGTTGGATGGGTTAAAGTGTAAATTTGCTTAACAAGTTTTCACACTAAAGCGCTGGATACCCGAAAGTTTTTTATATGCAAATTTGCCAAGAAAATTTAAAATTGCAGCAATTTTGTCCTATATCATTAAAAATATTAACAGTTAATGTTACTATTTTAACAATTAATGTTAATATTTTAACAATAAGAGGCAAAATTTTGCTTAAAATTTTTGGGTGCCCAGCGCTCTTGAATGAAAATTTCTGTGACAAATTCACACCTTAACCTATGATTGGATTAAGGTTATGAGTGGGATTTGCAACAAAGATTAAATAATGAAGAAATGTGTGGTGAAGAAAAGGATTACGTAATGGGAATGGAGGAAGGGACCCAAATGAGGAACAAAGCCTAAAGATGCGGAAAAGACCCATAAGAGATTTGTTCATTCGCCTGCAGAATCTTTCTCAGACAAGATCCGCACTTTGCTGCTATTACATTCATCCTCTAATCCTTCAAACCCACATTTCACCAATTCTTTCTGTTTTTTTTTTTTTTTCTAAATTGAATTTAAAGGGGCAAACCTACGACTTCTTGTTTACAAAAGTGTTTTCATGCCACTATATTATAAAATTATTGGCAATAATTATCTTTCTAATTATTAGCACATGGCATTCTGGTCTACATAATTGCCAGATCAACTTCTCATGATGGTCCCATTAGCTAGATTTTTTTTTAAAAAAAGAATAATAAAGCAACATCTAATTTTACGTTTAATATTACTTATTGTCTTTAATATAAGAGTTAGTTAGTTAATTTGAGTAGATTGGTAAAGATTATTAAATTATTTATTTGTAATAAATAGGTGTTTTCTTCTCTAAATACCCTTGTTAGTCATGTCACATGTGTATTAGCTAAAACTACCATTTGGTAAAACTTTAAATATGTGCAATTACTATAAGGACTATTTTAATTTTTAAAAAAAATAAATATGAGAGACAAAGTGGATTGGAATATTATATTTAAGACCAAATTAAATATTAAACTTGCTCTTATAATAAGGACACTAGAAGTGATATTTGAATCCCTTATTATCAAATAAAAATTGTTAATCTTATAATATTGATCTTCAATGATAATCCTTCTATACCTTGTATGAGTTTTATTCATTATATTTCATTCTTGTGGGAGTCTGTCTTTTTTTTTTTTTTTTTTAAAGTTAGAAGAGGCATTTCTCCTCTCATGATTTCTATCTATGCTATCGATTATTCGATCATGAAACATATAATTAGAAAAGCTTTTCTTTTGTGTTTTTTTGTTTTTTTGTTAATGTGAAAGCTTTTATTTATCACATTAAGCACGTACTTTTGGATGCATTTTTATGTAGCAGTTAGCAATGTGTTAAATTAAAATGTAATTGTAAAGCTTTATTACAATTTTCTAGTTATAAAATTAGGATGAAAGATGATTACATCAATGAAATATTTGCTTTTAAAAAAAAAAAATTCCCTTCTTCTCATAATTCCTCCTCAACCACAGCCCGCCGTCGCTAACCATCATCCTTCGCCGTCGTCGTTGGCCACCAACGACCATCCAACTCTATTACTGATCAGTGTCTTCCTTACTTGTCAAGGGTTAATTTGGGTTCTCCACTATACCACTTCCTAATGTTTTTTTTAAGGCCCCTACTTTTAAAATATTTTTTCTTGTTTTTTTTTCCAATCATTAAATTTTACGTAAAATGAGTAGCATTTTAATATTTTATGGGCAAAAAATGATGCATATTTAAATTTTTTAATGATTTTTTAAAAGAAAAATACCTTAAAATCGTACAGTTTTTTTGGGTTAAAAATTTATAAAAAATCAAAACTGCATAATTTTATTTCTAAAAAATATCAAAATGTTATTCATTTTATGTAGAATCTAAAAATCAAAAGAAATGAAAAAAATTTAAAAATTCAGAGTATTATGAAGGGCATTACAAAGCATTAGAAAGAGACACATTAAAACCTCTATTCTCCACCATCCCAATCACCACCATTGTTTATCATTGGCAACCACACTTCTTTTTTGGATTTAGAAGTACAGGTACTGGCGGCTTGAGATTACAAAATGGGATCGAATTTGCAGTTTTCTGCTTGTAAGAAAATTTTTGTACCACTAGGCTATAAGGACTATTATATTAATATAAATAGATTTGTTCAATACTTCAATGTTTAATTTTCTTTTTAAACCAGAAGGCCGAAACCCTGTATTATTTTCTTTGTTTTTTTTTAATGTCATCTTTCACCTAATGAAAAATTGAAAATAACTCACACCCCCATTATACTCTTAAGAGATTTTGAAAGAGGTGTTTAATATTATTGGGCCAGAAAGTCTTCCATTGGCTTGAACTTTGAACTGTGCATCTTTTTGCTCTCCTGTGAGTTTCACGAGTTTTGGGTTTCACTCCTTTGCATTGAGAAAACCACTCGAACCAGGGGGTTATTTTTCATATGGGCGTAAGGGTACTGTAGGTATAGCCCCAAGGCCATTTCACTCTCATACTGGGCCTGTCTTCTTCATGAAAGAAGGCCCAAATCTAAAATTTCTTTTTCCAGTTTTATCTTCTTGTTTTTTTTTTGTTTTTGCTACGCACGTATATCCTCACATTGGAGGCAATCATGTTCAAGAAACTATCAAGTATTAAATATTCTCCCAGCAGATATTTCAACCTTAATTTATCATGTTGTGAGGAACTAACTCCTTTCGTTATAAACAACCCCTGTTGATTAGTTTTATCCTTTCTTCTTGTTCTGTAACTTGATTTAAACCTTTTTAGTCACCTTGGGGTAAATCAAAAATAAAATCAAATTATGTAGTAAAACACAACTCAGGTCATGTCTTTTGAGGAGTTTTTTTAATTAATTTTCAACTTAATTAAGTGACGAAAGCATTAAAAGTGAGGGATTTGAAAATGGATTTTTCTTCTTGTAAAATTGATTATGAAAATAAATAAATCTAAACTACGTTTTTTTTAATTTATAATAAAGAGAGAATGAAAAATGCAAATTTGAATTTTAAGAAATTAATGATGAGAATACTCTTTAGAAATGAATCAATGACTATTCTAGTTTGTTTAATGATATAGAAGTAACTCAAGTGATTATG